TATTAAAGTACATTCCAGTTAAGCTTGTCTCGGCAGTCATTACTGGATGGAGGAGGGGGTCAGAACAGTTTTGCATTACTTTTTATTTTCTTTTTTAAAAAAATAATAAGAAATAGCTACATAAAAAGAACATGATCCCCGATGATCCACAGAAAATCACACCCCAGATTTATTTTCCCTGCTTAGCCCTTCCATTTCAGCACTCTCAAAACCTCTTTCATTTTGTCTTTTCTCTCTCTTCTTTCTCACGACCCTGGCTTCACGTAAGTTTTGTGTAAACCAGTTGTCTCTAGGAAACAGAGAAGGGAGATGGAAAAGAATCAAATCTTGGTCCAGAGCAGTGGTGAAATTCAGCCGTTTCCAACCAGTTCGGGCAAACCGGTAGTGCTGGCGGTGGGAGGCTCCGCCCACCCACCTGGACGCCGTCACGTCCCGTTTTTGACGCTCTGTGCATGCACGGTGGGTACTGCGCATGTGTGGAGATGGTGGGGACTTGAACTTGAGAAGCTCCTAACTGACTCTCAATGGTCCAGCTCAACCAACTCTATTGCTACTAATAGACATCAACTGATTGAGGACTAGACTGATGACTGAAATTGATCATTTCGATCAATGCCTTTGGAATATATTTTTTTTAAGAATAACACACGACACGGTCCCTTAGCAAATTCCTCTTGGATTTGGAAGCTCCCTGCTTCTCTTACCTGCTTCGAAGGGAAATCCCACTGAAACTCAATTCTCACATTCAGCTCGGTCCTTGCTGTGCAGTTTAAGGATAGCTTCTCTCCTGCAGCCAGTTCCACTTGGTGCAGAGGGCTCATGCTGAGCTCATGAATTCTATATCCTAAAACAGAGGGGGACAAATCAGAAGAGAAACTCCACTGAATATACAATTGTGAAACAAAACAAATGATGTGGGGAAATGGGTTATCAGAAACATTAAAAAAAAGATTTTTTTTTTTGCACCAATACAAACAGTACGCATCCTAGTTAGTTCTGCTACTAAAGAGAAAGACCTTGAGGCTTCCACTACATGTCCTGTCAATGGACTATAGCAGGAGTGTCAAACTCACATCATCATGGCGGCATCATGTGACATATCATGATTTTTCCCCTCCCTTTGCTAAATCAGACATGGGCAGTATGACAACCCTAGACTATAGAAATAGTGCTTCTTCTTTAATTGTGGAACATTTTGCCGACACCCAGATCCCCAAGTATTTTGCTTTCTTAATTATTTGCATTCTGGTTGCTACTTCCAGTTCCTCTTCTTGCTTTTTTGTCATGTTCTTGGTTTTCATTTTTTTTTTGTCTTTATTGATCTTTAGTCCAGCCACTTTGTCATATTCTTCTAATTTTTTTTTTATGACATATTCTTCTAATTTTTGAATTAATTTCAGGATGGATTCTAATGGATCCTCTAGAACAAAAATGATAACCAAGAACATGACAAAAAAGCAGGACAAAAGAAAAAACAAAACAAAAATGGTAACCAAGAACATGACAAAAAAGCA